GTAGGTATAGACCTTAAGGACTTATATAGGTAACTTTAAAAAGAAGACCTAGAGACCTAGCGCTGAAAGGCTACTATTAAGTAGAAGGCTCCAGGATAAAAAGGCTAGAGTATTAGACCTAATAGTCTCTTGCGATTTAAAGAACGCGTATATATCCTAATAGGGAGCAATCTTAGAACTATATTATTAAGTATTTATTATAATAACCCCCTTGCCGGCTACTTTAGCTAGAATAGAACCCTTAAGCTAATATAAAGGAAATATCACTAGCCGAATCTCTACCGAGACGTTACCGAGTATATATAGGATTATCAAGTCTACTAAGGTATTATAGCGAAAAGATATAAACCTTATAGAGAACTTAAACCCTTACTAATCCTAGCGAAGCCTTTCGCTAAATTATCGATAGACTTTATTATAGGCCTCCTATTAATACTATATAATAGTAAATAAGTTAATATAATCCTTGTTATTATTAATAGGTTCACGAAATAGTTACTATTCCTCGCCGTTTCGTTAACGATTACTACTATAGAACTTATAGAGCTCTTCTATAACGAAGTAGAATTACGGTTTAGGCCCCTAGAGGGTATTATATCCGATCGAGGATCCTTATTTACTAGTAAATTCTAGTCAAAATTATATTATCAAACCTAAATACGCCTTAGGCTTTTAATAGCTTTCCACCTGTAAACCGATAGTTAAATAGAAAGAATAAACTAAACACTTGAATATTACCTACGATACTTTATAGTAGAAAATCAGGCTCTCTAGCTAGCACTATTAAAAAATATAGAATTTGTATATAATAATATAGTGAATACAATAACTAAGGTATTACCTTTTTAGGTATTACTTAGTTACTCGCTAGATTTCCGCTAGCGTCTCGAGAGCGAAACGTATTACTAGGAGGTCCCGATAGTATCTATACGTATTAAGAAACTTAAAACCCTTCGGCAGAGTTTAAAGGAATACTAGCGAATAGCAGCCGAAACTATAACGAAATACTATAATTAGGCCTATAAACTAATAACCTTTAAAAGAGGAAACCTAGTCGGCCTTTCTATAAAACACCTTAGGTTGAAAGGGAATAGGAAGCTAGCACCCCGCTTTATCGGACCCTTTAGGATCCTATAACCCGTTAGTAAATAGGCTTACCGCCTAAGCTTACCTTAGCAATATAACCGTATTTATAACGTTTTTTATATATCCCTCCTAGAACTATAGAAAAAATAAAGTAGGAAAGATAACGAAAACCTCCCGATACTAGAACTAGAGGATAACGATAAATACGAGGTAGAAGAAGTACGTAGGGAAAAATCTATTAAGGGAGAGCCCTATTTTCTTATTAAATAGAAGGGCTAGCCCTTAGAATATAATCAATAGGTATCCTAAGACGATATAGGGAACGCTATAGGATTAATATAGGCTTATAGGAAGTAGAGAACTAAAAGAAAATCCTAAATATTATTATTACTACGCGTTATATAAGTATATAGTCGAAGATAAACAAACGAAACCCTACCGAAGGCCTATAGAAATAAGATACTATCCTAATATTCACTATACCGAAGATTAAATTTCCTTAGGAATAAGAGGAAAATTATCTATAATACTTCTTACTAGCACTTCCGGCTTATTATTAGATTCAATATTTATTGAATTATTATAGGCCTCCGTATTAGCTAGGCGATCTGCTAGATAAGTTACCTGACTATCACGAATAGCCGCTGAAACCCTATAGTAGAACACTAGTTTTACCTAAGCCTAGGAGAGGTATCTATTATCCCTAGGAAGAAGTCGAAGTAGCTTATTTAACCGGTATAAACCCTATTTCTAGGCGGAGGATCTGTTAGGGGGAGGAAGAATTCCGGAAAGATTATATCGACAAGCGGTAAGGGTATCCTAGTATAAGACAGCGACGCGCTATAGAAACTATAGTGTAAGCCCGACGAACCTAGCATCCTTTATTTCTAGGGAAAATTTAAGGAATTTCTATAAGGGACTTACCTTTATAATATTCTTAGTACTAGTAAGGAGATATTTACGGCGATAGGCCTACTCCGTACTATCGAAAGCATAGTAGAGATCCTACGAAGCCTCGGCGATCTCTAGACGAACAGCCTAGAAAAAGGGCTATACTCCTATTTCCCTAGTATTATTATCTACTACTATCTTATCCTAGAAAACCTTCTTAGCCTATAGCAAGATCTTAGAAAGGTCGTAGGTATCGCCTAATATAGCGGTAGTAGACTAAGAAGAAGTCAGTATAAAACCTAGTAGAAGGCCTAGCGAAACCTATAGCAGAATATATAGTATTCCGGGCGGAATACTAGCGATATAGAATAGATACTTTAGTATCTAAGACGTAGTTAATTAATAGAGGGGTATCTATAATTAGGGATAGACTACCTAAAGGCCCGATAGCGGTCCGTAAGTAATATATATACTAAAAATGCTTTAGTATAATCGGCACCGTATAGGTAGTACGAAGGTAGGGAGGTATAGTAAACGAAACGTAGACGATATAATAAAGAAAGGATAGTAATAAGAAATAGAAGAGAGGAGGTAGAAGAGTATCAAAATAAAGGATAGTAATATAAGGTAGGGGATATAAATAAAGGAAGCTCTCACTTCCACAGCATAATACTCCTTATTTACTTTACTTATATAAGGATCACGGCCTTAGGATTTAATCTGTTTATACTAAATAAGCCTACTAACTATTTAAATCTCCCGCTTAGGGGCAAGCGGTTATAGAGGGAGGATAATTTGTTATATAATATTACAATATAAAGCTATTCCTAACTTTACGCCTTAGGTATCAACTCGATACCTTATCGGTTAGGCTTCGTTATAACAGCCCTACGTCTCCCTAACAAGGATATATAACCTATAAGACCCTAAGGGTTCGGTGCCCTTCTATTAGGGATTCGTGGACCCCTCTTCTCTGTAGCCTTTGCTTATCTCTAATATATAGGGGCTACGTCAGACTATATATTATAATGTGATCCATCGTCTTTGCTTAGTTATATAGGAAAAGTGTTGAAGCTTGTACATAAATTAAGGATTATAGAGAGATCCATGATAGCAAGAAACAGTGTTTTGCTTTCCTTACTTGACGTTTATCTTCCTACCTAGTCGACAGGCTTTCTACCCTGTACAAGTAGTTATTCTCTAACACCCGGTTTCGTCAACGACAACAAGCAGTCGAGGCTGCCGACGAGGCCCTTGATCCCTTTCAGAATCTCTTCCTAGACCACGATCCCCGTCAGGTCGTAACCCGTATCCTCAAGGACGACTCTCAACTTAGCTACTTTGATCTACTTCACGAGACCCTCGTAGCTGACCTACCGATCTACTTCGCGGAACTACCTATCTCCCACGAGGCCCTACTATCTCCTATCGAGCCTCCGAGCCTAATTATCCTACACTAAGATATATCTTCCAACGAGGATTAGGATTCGATCCTACTCTATCCCCCGGAGACCCTGCCTAATCCGCCTCGCCGTTATTAAACCCGTTAAGCCTCCTAAGATTCTCTCCCTCCCGAGGCTCCGCGACCTACGCCCCGTTCTTGCTTCCCTACTGCCCCTCTCCCTCCGTCTAGTCTTGCCCTAGACCCCTTAGCTACCTCCCTCGTCAATCAGCTTCTCTAGTACTAAGGCTGCGCGGAATATCTATCCCCGCCCGCGCTAAGCGCGTTAAACCCGATAGTCAGCCTCTCTGCCCTTACGCGCTAGGCGAGCCCCGACCTCCTCGCGCCGCCCGCGAATCGCTAGATTGCGTAGTACCTAACACTATAGGAGACCCTCCTCCCCCTCCCTAAGCGCCGGCGGCTCTTTACCGGCCTTAATCCTAATAGGGAGGCCGCGCTCCCGCTCCCTACGCCGTAACTCGACCTCGAGACTAATATAGTCCCGCCTAACGATCGTCTCTAGGCTACCCTCGATATCGATAGCGCTAGGGGCTTTGCCTCGAGCCTCGCGGTCGCCCGCTAAGGGATCGACTAGAAGGCCCGCCGGGCCCTAGTTAGTACCCTCTAGAGCTCCCTCTATCTCGCCCTAATCCCTATCGACTACTTCACGCCTAATTAGTAGCGGCGTTTAGGACGGCAGCCGCTCTATTAGATCCCCTATCTCCCCTTCAGGCGACTTGCTAGATTCCCGGTAGTAGAAGTCTATCTCCTCTTCCCCCGCTAGTTCGATCCGGCCCTCGATTACTTCGTAATCTAGACCGATATCTAGCGGCTCTAGACTAACGAGGTCTTCCTACCTACGCTTTATATAGCCTATCCCTCGTCGATTACCTAGTACCTCCTATCGAGTGCTAAGTATATCGAGCGTAACGCTACCGCCGCGACCTAGGAGGCTCGGACTACTACGATAGACCGTGTCTACGCCTAGGACTTCTATCACCGGCTCGGCGCTATAGGCCTCCCTACCCTCTAGGCTAAGATCTAGCAACGGATCGCGATCGCCGGCTACGATCTCTTCCTTAATACGTAGATCGTCTTAACGGCGAAAAACCTGAAACTCTCGACCTAGCGGTTAACCTAGGCTAGGGCCCGCGATACCTTCCTCGAGGACTAGACCCGGGCTATCGACCTAGCCTTCCTTACCTAGGACTTCTACGATCTTACTAAGGAGGTTATCGCCCCCGTCGGGCCTACTAGCCCCCCGCTAACCCTCTACTAGCGTCGATACTATCTTGAGAGCTTCTCCTAGTAGATCTCTACCCCTAACTCCGCTAGCTCGCCCCCTAGCCCTACGCGGTCCCGCTCTAGCTCTACCGGCGCCTCCCCTAGCGTGCTACTATCCCTCTTAGGTACTAACTATCTTAGCGCTGCGAGCCCGAGCTCCGCTAGCTTAGACTCGGATCCCCTCCTCTCTACTACCCCCGGCCCTACGCCGCCTCGGCCGCGTCGGGGGTAGCGTATATAGTACTACCCCTAGTCCCTTACCCGGGACTATAGCACGATAACTATCGCGCCGTCCCCGCTAAGCCCGATCTAGCGGTAGGGGCTCCGGTATATCTAGCACTATAACGTAGTAAAGAAGGTCTTCGTAGTAGGGAACTACTACCTCTTCACTAATCCTAGGCTCGATACTCTCGCGCTCGACCCCGCGATAGTCCGTACCTAGCAGTATATCGGCGGCGCTATTAGCTACTCCCCGCTCGCGGTACTCTAGGCCTACCTCTATACTAAGCTCTAGTACTACGCGGTACTCGTAGGCTACTAAGGCCGCTCGTACGGTACCCGCGAGGAGTACCGGGTTACCGGAGTAGTCCTCGCTACGCTCGATACGCTCCTCGAGGCCCGGGGGCTCGCTAATACGCCCCTCCTAGTCCCTCCTACTACGCTACCCTACTAGGTCTATCCGACCCCGCTAATCCTAGACTAGTAGCGGTAGAATATTAACCGGCTCTACCTTAGCTTCGAGCTTACGTATAGCCTCTAGCCGCGGACGTTCGTCTACTAGGAGTATACCCGGGTAATAATAATATTCCTATAGTGTCTTACTAGCGCGTACGGGGGCTAGGGGGCGTATCTCTAGCGACAGACGGGGCTCTAGATCGACTAGCGGACCGACCTACCCCTCCCTAGGTCGTCCGAGGCGCGGATCCGCGAGAGGATAGCGCTTAGGGCCGCGCTCGCGCGCGTAGGCTACGCGTAGCTTGCTAACAAGGTCGACTAGGCGGCTATAATCTTCCTCCCCGCGTATCGCCTATACCTTATGTTTAACACCCCGACCCTCTAGGGCGCCTACCGCGCGCGCTACGGGCGCGTTAAGCGTGCCTAGGACGAGTTGATCCTCTTCTACGATATCTTCCGTCGGCTCTAGGAGGACCGGGGGGATATCGTCCGGACGCGGCTCCTCCTATAGCTTCTCGTTAACCTCTACCTCCGCGCCTTTCGGTAGGAGGCGTACTAGACGCTCACTAGCCGTCGGCGTACTAGGCCCCTGCTCTACCGCGATACTAGGCGTATCTACGCCGCGCGCTAGGGCGAACTCCTACTAACTAGCGCTAGGGTATAGTCGATCTTCGAGACTAGGACCCTCGCGGACGACCTCTACTTTATATCCCGCTAGTATATCTAGACCGTCCGCTACCTCGATAGGCTCTTCGCCTAGCTCTAGGGCTAGGACAGGGATAGGGATAGGGGCGACCTCCCCCGGAAGGGCTAGCACGCGAAGCCCTACCGGGTCCTATTTCGCTAGTACTACGGGGTTATCGCGTAGACCTACGGGCTATAGTAGGCGCGCGCCTAGCGCGTCCGTGTCCGCGAGACCTAGATCCGGAGCTACTAGATCCTACTATAGCCGAGCCTAACTATATTCTAGTCCCGGGGCTCGCGCTACAGCGAGGGGAAGCTCCGTACCTAGGCGAGCTAGCATCCGGCGGTCGAGACGTACTACGCTGCTACCGGGCTTAGCCCCGACCTAATCGAGGTACCCTTAGACTAGATCGACTACCTCCCCCTCTCTAGCTAGGGCCTAGCGCCGACCCCGAGCCCCCTCACGACCGCGGTGCCCCTAATCCTATCCTCCCTCGATTAGTAGCTTCGCGTAGAGGGGGCGGTAAGCGCCCGGGCCCTCGCGCCTATAGAGATCCCCTTACCTACGAGTAGGGTACGGCCTAGGCCGATCAGCCGCTACGTCTACTAGATAGCCCCCGAGCGGTAGGTCCTCTGCTCCTACTAGGCGGCCTAGCCTATCCCCGAGGCCTAGCTCTACCGGTAGTATAAGTAGCTCGACTAGTATCTCCTCCTCTAGCTTCGCGCGACTATAGCTACGTAGCAGGCGGAGATTAATAGCCTATAGTACCCCCTAGTCTCGACGCCGTAGCAGGATCGGCCCCGCCCGCTCCTCGAGGCTAGCCTAGCGTCGCTCTACCTCCGGTAGGAGTAGCTCGAGGACGAGGACTCCGACCCTAAGAGTCTCCAGGCGCGGCGTACCCGGCTCTATAACCGTCTCCGCTAGCGCGAGCGCTATCTCTAGTAGGCCTAGCATAATCTATAGCGGAAGCGCGCGTACGAGAACCTCCACTAGGTGCTTTAGCGGGAGCTCAAGAGTAGACTCCTCCCCTAGAGCGAATAGGAGCAGCGGAATCGCGAGTATATATAGGCCCGGGCTCGCTACCGGCTTACGTCCGAGCGCCTCGCTTATCTCTCGCGGGAGGGCCTAAAACCCGGATAGGTAGGGGTCTCGCCGGGGCGGTTTAGATAGGTTATAATTAACCTATCTCCGCTCCTCCCGCTACGGCTACCTAGTCTATATCCTCGTCGCGCGTATCGTAGTCCTACTCGCGTTACTAGTTGCAAGTAAGACGCTTCCTTCCCTAGTAAGCCCTAACCCCTACGACTCCGCTATACCTTACCTTAGTATACCCCCTTACGACTACGACAATATACGCGATAACTGCCCCCGCGATCCCCTAGATCTTCTAGTACCACGAGCCGCTCTATATAGTAGTCTACCGGCCCTATAGGTACGTAGTAGTCGACAACTAGATTAGCCGGTACCTCCGCGCGGCGTACCTAGGGGTCTTTTAGCCCCTAGCTATCCGAGAGTTCTTCGAGAGGTTCCTATCGCGGGTACGCTCCCTTAGCGCGATCTCGCTGCCTACCTCCCCTATTCCCCCGATCCCTCGGCTCCCTATCTATCCTAGCTTCTAGTACACCTACCCCGACTACGGATAGGTTAGCCGGGGGCCTACTAGCGACCTACGGCGTATTAACGAGCACTACGAGCGGGCCTATTAGTAGGAGAACCCCTACACCCGGCAGCCTAATCGCGGCCGCTAGGCTGAACGACCCTAGATCGCTATCGCCTATCAGCAGCTTGTCTAGCGCGGGCTAGGCTCGCGACCCTTTCTAGTCCTTCCCCCTAGCCTAGCGCCTACGTCGCCTACTAGCGTCCCCCTAGCCTAGAGCAGCCCTCCCCCTAGGGACCCTCCCTCGCTAGCGACCCCTACGCCGTAGCACCTTAGGGAGCTAGCAGTCCTCTTACTCTCCACCCTTACCTCGCGTACCCTATCCCTACCGCCTAGCGCGCAGGTGCTATACGCAACACTATCCTCGCTAGCGCGCCCGCTTAGCGACCCCGCCTACCGCCCTCTCGCCGCCGCCGTCTACGAATAGGCCGGGTCCTACCCGCTCTACCGATATACCGCGCGCGAGACTAATCCCCCCTGATCGCGTCGGATAGCTAAGTACGCCTTCGCCGACTATCCTACGACGCGGTAGGCCTCGATTGCGGCGGAGGTCCTCGAGATCTAGCAGCGTCTCTAGCCGAGCGAGACGAACTACGTAGTCTACGCGCTCCCCTAGGGCGCCCTATTCTATACTAGCGGGCCGAAGATCTAGTGCTACTTCCCGGACCTAGTCCTCCCTACCCTAGTTAGCACTATACGGACCTATAAACGGGTAGCGAACTAGGGGATCCTACCCTATCTCTAACGGTACTAGGTTACGCTCTAGGACCGGAGCTAGGTGCAGGCCTAGTTCGGCTAGGAGGAGGAGGCGAACAGGGTCCTAATCTTCCACGCGGCCGCCCTCTTCCTCTACCTAACTACCTAGATCCGCGAACAGCCGCCGCTCCGGGATAACTTCTAGTTTACCCCCCTCCTAGCTATATCCCCCGCTCGCTAGGTACGATCGTCGACCGGCCGATCGAGCGCGGGCGTAGAGGGAGGGGAATCTAGATAGTATTTACTAGATATCAAAATCCTACTTCGATTGTCGATTATTAAGATTCCTCCCGTAGACCTACTAAGAGACCTACCCGGGTACGCTAATTATACCTCTACGCTAGACCCACTCTCCCTATCCGCCTCCTACGCGGCCTAGTATATCACCTACTACAACAACTATCTAATAGCGTATATTTATAGAGTGCCTTAGTTAGGAGACTACTTACCCTGTAAACGTGCGTTTTTTATTTATCTTGATTAGGTAAAGATTATCGGTTTAAATCCGGCCGTAGGCGTTTTCTCCTAGTCTCTATAATAGATCCTTCCGGGTAGGCTTATAGAGTATTATTTTCGCGCGCCGACTACCTTCCCCTCCTAGTAGTACAGTAGTCTAGAGGCGTACCGCGCAACAGAGGTCGTCCGTTCGACTACGGGGGAGGTCGCTTTTGTTTCTTTTTATTTACGATAGTTCTAGCCCTCCCCTCCTCCTCTACTTGCTATTAACACTATCCCTTTATATTGCTCTATCAATCCTACGCTCGGGAAGTCTTCTAGTCCATTCCTTCATCTTTTCCGGTTAACGATAGGGTCGCAGGCAGATCGTATACGACAATATATATATCTCGCATGTAGGCATCGTCTTTGGAATCTTCTCCTTGCAATCTTTTACTAGTAAAAAACTAGTAAAATGTTATTAACTTAACAGCCTTTGAATTTCTTCTCCTTCCAATTTTTTACTAGTAAAAAACTAGTAAGATACTATTAAATAGACAGCTTTTATAGGCATCATCCGAGACCGCAGGCATCATCCGAGATAGCAATCACAGGAAATTCACTTCTCGTCCATTTGACGTCACAGAACTCAGTGAATGGCCCAGATGACTCATATTGAGAGTATAAATATCTCCTCTTCGCCCTGAGCATCTTCCTTCTTACCTTACCCTTACCCTCACCCTCACCCTCATCCTCACCTCGCGAGATCTCCTCCCTCACCCTCACCTCGCGAGATCTCCTCCCTCACATCATCTCGCCCTCGCACGTTTACAGGGTAACCCAGAGACCGTGGGTCCTAGACAGGTCTGTATCACAACCTTCATCTCTTCATTATATCTTTTAAAAAGGGGCATCGCTAACTTGAAATTCTAGTCATTACAGATCTCGAGAACTCAAAGACTTTCATTGATATCAATAAAGAAGAGACAACTCCGAGCAAGACAGAGATCAAACAGGACAACCACATCACACGCAGCCTCGCACGTTTACAGGGTGACCTAGAGACCGTGCGTCCCAGACAGGTCTGTATCACAACCTTCATCTCTTCATCATATCTTTCAAAAAGGGGCATCGCTTACTTGAAATTCTAGTCATTACAGATCTCGAGAACTCAAAGACTTTCATTGATATCGATAAAGAAGAGACAACTCCGATCAAGACAGAGATCAAACAGGACAACCACATCACACGCAGCCTCGCACGTTTACAGGGTGACCTAGAGGCCTTGCTTCCGAAAGGGCCTACGACAAGCTGTTTCTGAAGCACCGCGACGATCTGATCATAGCGATCGATGTTGGTCTGGATGCAAATAGTACGTGGTTCCTAAGTCTTTTAAAAAGGGGTATTACTAACTCTACCCTCCTATTTAGATCCTCGCACGTTTACAGGGTGACCTGGAGACCTTTCTTCGCTCTTCCTTTGGTCAATAAGTTTCTGCGAGCTTAGCGCTTAGAATCTTCGGCTATTAACTCCATACAACGCTTAGCCGCTTAGATTTATACAGACGGGTCATTCGCACGTTTACAGGGTGAAAAACGAACTTGACGATATTGACCTAACAACAATCCCAAGTGAACTACCTAGCCTGCACCTAGAAACGGACTTTCTCTTTGATAGCCAAAAGAATAGCTATGATCTTTCCCTACTATCCTCAAACTTTCAAAATCCAACGATATCTTCCAAAGCCTATAGTGCTGACTTTAGCGACGAGATCTAATATCAGGATATGAAAGCTACTAAGGCCCCGCAGAGATTCTATCACAGCTCCTACTAAGCCTAGACGTATCGCAGCGACCACGGTCCCGTTCACCTACTCCGGCGCTGCTAGCTATAGACTTCGTATACACGGAATACGACGGCCTAGTACCCGACCCGGACGACTAGACACCGGAATCTACACCCTAGGCACAAGCTCCACCCCTCTCCCTAAGCTAACCGTCGAAGCCCGCGAAGCTATACGGAAAGCCAACGAAGCGTAGGCAATTATTCAGGCTGAACCTGAAAGCTGAAACTATTTCCATTACTCTATTTCGCATTAGGGACGATGCTTTAAAAAAAGCGTAGCATATATTACCCTTTAAGCTAGGTCAGGTGACCCTTAGCACCTTCTTAGCTAGTCTTAGATAGAACTAATAACATCACCTTTACATCTCCTGACACTATCACAATTTCCGTATTTTAGACAAATCTCGCTACTATTACTAAGAAAAGGGCCTACTTAGGATAAAAAAAGATCTCCCTAGAAAACAAAACAGACCTCTTTATATATATAATTTTCTATAACCTAAATCGGAGCGGAGCGTATATAAAAAGGTCGACGAAGATCGAGGTTGCTAAGGTAGAACTATAGGTAGATGGCACCCCCGGTAAGGGTTTTAGGGTTTAGGGTTTAGGGTTTAGGGGTTTTAGGGTTTAGGGTTTGGTTTAGGGT